CACCCAAAGCTTCGATCCCGGGTTGACTCGCAGAAGACTTTCGTTTTAAACATCGGTTCGGTTGCGCATACTGTATGACCGACATAGCTGTTCCAGCTTTACCTTCGATATCTATCCATCGGGATTTACAGAGATTCAATATGGCTTTGGGATTTTACGGCTATCTTAATTACCTTTGAAAAAGATAGGGTTCTTGAATTTGTGAATCGCAATACAGCTTTTGGGCCCTAATACAGTTTGGTTAGAGGGAAGTGGGGCTCATACCAGTGGACAGTCTCAAGCTATAAAGCATAGAAATAATGGATACAGCGTTTGTTCTTTGATGACTGACTACTTGAACTAATGACAGAGTTAGGCACCCTCGTATAAGTGAGGTGCATGATTAGATACCTACATCATCCTGCGTAGGCTCAGATTCGGGGCACCTTCAACGCATGGGCACATCCCTACGGGCTAGGGACTTTTAATCAGGCACCATCAAAACCTAATTACCCCACAGGCAACTCTTGGTCCTCTGGGAGCCTCCCCTCCCCGAATCGTCGTACAAAAGACCAAGGTGTCGGATGACTGATCCAAGGCAACCTTTTTCAAGGCCGTAAGATTTTGGCGCGGGGTGTGTGGCTATGCCATGTAACCAAGCTACTACTACGGCGGTTAATAGCGGCCATCGGGCAAATGCGTTGATGTCTCTTTACCGCTCTACATACCGCATCTGAATTAGGATCTCATGATACTCTGTATGATACTATACGGATTCTTTTTCTAATTATCATTAAACATGCCTTCTTTTATTGATCTTGAGCCGTACAAGGCTGATATTATTGGTCTATTTTATTAGGACTGTTCTACAGCTTGTATTATCTTTATTGTTGAGGCACGATACCATGTACGAGTCAGCAAGTATATAATTAAGATCAGGTTGAGTGGTTAGGGTATTAGTAAGTATAATTATATAATTATCACTGATTCTTCTTTATATAGCCGGATCAAGGAATTGTTCTTTGAGAGGTACTTTTTTAATACAGAGATTTTATATATTATATAAACTGAAGAATACACTGTCTCTTTATAAATATTTTAATAAATCTGTACAGAGCAAGGCCTTGTCTGACAAATAAATAATTTTAATAAATATTAACTCCAGGATAATATAGCTACGAAGTACCTGCTTGAGGTATATAATAAAGAAATTATCCAAGACTATGGACAAGAGCTTTTATTTATTTATATATATAGTAAATATCTTATTATTCCAAGATCTGTACAGAGGATCATTATATATTAATTTCTTACTAATTAAGATCTTGTAGATATTAGCTATATAATATCTATTATATAATTATACCTGAGGCTATATAACAACAGAAGAATAATATATAATAAAGTTATGATTTATATATAATCCCTGGACCAGATCATATCTGGTCCGTGGACAGTTATATAAAGCTAGATTTGTATAATATCTAAATCTATACAGCCATTGACGTGTACTCTTGCTATATTATCTGGATTTATATTGGTATTAATACTTGTATATTACTCAGTATTATACAGCAATATCTTGACACTGTATATAAACAGAAGATTATCTGTAATAAGATTTATTTAGATTATAAATTAGAAATATCTTTATTTACTAAAGTCTACTGCTATCTTCGAAGAGTATACAAGCCAGAGATTAAGATAATATAATATTATATTTTTAAATTTAGTATTACAAATCAGAGAATTGAGTCTTGGTGGGTACAGCTAAGTAAATCATTACTTTTTTGATATTATATATATATAGACAGACTAATCCTTGTTTATTTCTATATTAACTAATATAGAACTATTTTAAAATCTTAATTGAAGTAGGAGACTTCTTTAAAAATATAATTCTAGATTAGATTACTTTGTATATAGTCTATATATTTATTCTTTGGACGCAGGTCTTATTATATATATATATCTAGAATTAATACAGCATCCGGAAGTAATAAGAGAGGCTATATATTATCTTTAATTAATTATTCATAAATTATTATTATCTAGAATATATAATTAATCATAGTTTTCTTGTACATGAAGAGTTTCTCCAGCAGCTAAGAGATTTCATATAAAACTGGAATATAGTAAAGTATTTATTTATAGAGATTTTAAAATAATATCAGAAGATCTTACTGGGACTAGGCTTTAATCCTAAAAAGCTATTACTAATATATCCGGACAAAGCAGAAGTCTCTTTTTGTATAATCTATCTTGGCTTACAGAAACGGGTGATAATATATATAAAATCAGGTACTAAGCCTGATCTGATATTATTTAAAATATTAACCGGGGCCTTTAATTAAATTAAATAACAGGAATTAAAGTAATTATTTATAATAATTATATATTCTTTATTTACTATTTTTTTTATTTTATTATTTATTTAAAGTCTTAAGATCCTGCTCTTTGCTATACAGAATAGAAATTAATATCTTTTATACAAGACATTACTTATTTAAGATATTTTTTATATATAATAGCTTTTTTCTGGACTTTTTATTATTTTACTACTGGCTAATCTTATTCTACTTATTTTTTACAGTATCTGACCTACCAGGTAATTAATCCTGTATTTAAGTGGATTATTTATATTAATCTTATTATATCACCTAAGCTATAATCTGTATAATCTGGCTTATATATACAGACTGCCTCATCTGGTGGTGGTTCTTGTATAATAATTTTTAAAGAAGAGAATATCTACCAGAAAGCCCTCTTATATAAGAAATCTTTAAAAAATCCAGCTGGTATAAAGATTATTATTTATTTCTACTTGTATAACATACAGGAAGGGGAATCTGAAGATAATATTTTAATTATTATATATATTCTACTAGATTTAACTTTCTATTTTTAATATTCATATGATGCTAATCTTGTTATCCTACAGAACAGGTACAGACTTATATTAATAACTATATATTTAATAATCTTGATAACTTCCTCTGAGATAAGCTGCTTTCCTCAATAACTAGCTGTATATATATATATATAATACAGGGAATTACTTCTGTTTATTAACAGGGATTATAAAGAAGTAACTAGTTTTTCTATTTCTAATAACTAAAAGTAATGTAAAGGCCCTGGACTTCTTAAAGAAGTAGTTTATACTTACTAATAAATTATACCAGATTTATATAATTATTTAGTGTTATATAATACCTTTCTCTACTACAGATGAGGCAGAGGAGACCAAGATTAAGAAAAAAATTATTAAAAAAAAGAAATTAATTATATAAAAAAGATTAATTATATAAAAAAATCAGGATAATCTTGATATTTTAAATACTGAAATAAAGACTTTGAATATTTTATTAAAGTATTAGCTATTCCAGTCTCCCTCTCCACCTCATCATACAAGGAAGAGATATGTGATCAGAAAAAATAATAAAAATCAGATAACTAAATATAAATTATCAGATCTTTAATTATATACTACTCTACTAGATAGCAGGATCGTGGGTTTGTATAGCAGGCTAGAGCAGACAGAGTAGGGTCTATAATAATAAAATCTCTGTATATATAAAATAAAAAACAAACAGTTAAAACAGTGAATATAATATTAGTTTAAATCTATTAAATAATCTCTATCTTCCACCTCTGCCTTCTATTAATATATTTATTATTACTATTACTACTACTACTATTACTACCACCACCACCAAGATATCTGCGTATATGTTAAATAATCAAAAACAAATTACTGAGCTTAATTTCCTATTTATTTATTCTATCTTTATTATACAGGATAAAACTGACTCTATAATATATTTATATAATAATAATAATAATAATAATATTAATAACTATTATATTAGTACTTCTTCTTTTCTTCCTAACCTGCCTGCTAGTTACTATCTGCCCGTCCCCGCCTTCTCTGATCTTAAATAATACTAGATATTATTATACAAGGGGCTCCTGGTTGGTGCTAATCTTATAATTCCTACAAGAAATCTAGATTAACTAGCTTTATTTATATATATTAATATAAGACTACAAGTACTTGCCCAGCCAGGGGCATAGTCTATTAAATTCTAACACAGCTGGATCTATACTTATTAGATTATAATATACCAAGCAAGCTACATTAATATCTTACTAATATAATCTCAGGAAATTTATCCACCAGCCCCGTATTCCAGATGCTGTAATAATATAAGAGACATTTTCCCAGAATATTATTATTTATTAAATATATTCAGCAGTGCTTATACTAACTGCAAATAATCTAATACTGGTAGCAGTTATACTATTTAAGATTTAGTATAGAATATTTTACAGAAAACTCAGTCTCTTATATCTGTTATTAGCAGAAAATTATCCGCACCGGAAGCTTCTCATATAGATCTGATTATTATAGAAGAAGAGGGGGAGGAGAAAGAAGTAATTATTATACTAGTATTTTTAATATATCCAGATCCTCCAATCAAGGAGAAGGATCTGGATATTAAAAAGATACTAATTATTAATCTTATTAATAATAAATCCATTATCATTGATGATAATTAGATATATATAATTATTTTTTTAATTATTAATATATACCTGTACCTGCACCTGCACCCCAGTTATACAGAATACTTATATATAATATTCTAGGCAAGACTTGTATCTCTTTATAGTACTCAGGATTAGTAGCCATCTGTATAGCAAAGCCAAGCAAGTTATTCAATGGTATATATACAGCTTTATATAGATATAGATAGGTATGTTAGATAAGCTACATGATCCAATCAGCTATATACTAATTCTGCCAGCAGTAAACACCAAAAAATTGCATTTGCCCGATGGCCGCTATTAACCACCATACTACTACCAGCCTCACCCACTAACTACGGCATTGCCCGATGGCCGCTATGCCCGCTGTAACACACTAAACAGTAGCTCGTCTCACCCGGGAAACAGCCTCCCGACATCCGGCTGCATCTTACTCTTCTCTTCTTCTCTTCAATCACACATACACCGTCTCACTCTTCTACTTTCTACATACTCTTTACCCTCCATATCTAAAATAATCCAAATCAAATCAAAATGGCCTCCGGACTCATCCTCAACCCCCACAACCTCCTCCGCGCCGCTCCCCTCATCTCATCCACCTGCACCCTCTGGTTCGCATTCGACCAAGACCTGGTCCTAAACGTCTTCTTGCATCCGGACCACCGTCCCCGCAGTAATGAGATCTTACCATCCTATTTCCGCGTGTTCTTCCGCCGCGGTGTCATCCGCGTCCTAGGCCTCCTGGCCCTCTCCATGGCAGGAGGCGGATACAACATTCTAAAGGACCGTCGATCAGGGGTCGTCACGGGCCTCCGATCATCCTTGTCGTGGTATGTAGCCGGCACAGCACTCGCCGCTAGTCATCTGCTTTACGTCCCTGTTATTGCTCCGAAGGTGCTGGCCATCATGGAGGATGAGTCGAAGGGTTCTTCGACGGAGGATCTGGAGGGTTGGTTGACGATTCATCGGGTGAGGACTTGGACGGTGGATTTTGCGGCGTGGGCTTGTTTTGCGGTGGGGGTGGGGTTGGCGTAGGTAATCTGGGATTGGTTTTGTGTAAACAGGTGCTTACTGACATGTACTTTGGTGTACTCATGTAAATTATGCGATGGAATTCAATTCAGTTCTATGTGGTCATACTTCTGCAATCTCCACTGCATACTATATCTTCATATGCACCAAACAGCCGCAGGACCCACCCAACATTTCCACTCAGATATACAAAAACATCTATATCTTTGACCTGTCGCATTCTATGCGTACAATGGGATGGAGATAGCTAATTGGCGATGCAACTATAACAAGACCCACGACCATGTGTATGCATGCACTTACTTACATTACTTTGCGCCCAGTGAGCCATGTCAGGCATGGGATGACAGGATCCGCATGTACTCGGTATACTATGATATTATCTACTCCGTCAGTCATAGAAGTGAAGAACTGCTGTTCGTCAGATGTGAGTTGACACCCCACCCATTCTCTCTGCACGTGCGAGGCTGACTCCGAAGCCAGGGTCTACGGTGACTTGTATTATTTGTTCGATATACGCGCCATTCGGAGAAGGTACCGGGCCTCGAAAGATTGACGAATCTGAGCGAGATTTACTCTCGGATGAAAGAGATCATACTAGAGCTTGAGCGAACATTGCCTTCGCTATCTGAGAGGTGGGATTGTGGGCATGAAGCTTTCGACGGCTCACTGCATAGACTACGAGATAGAAGTTTGAGACCATTGTTTCTAAATCAATAAAGCTTCATACATGTTCGAAACTTCGAAGAGACTTTCTTTGCTTATTCCGGCAATATATGCATTAATCATATCGATGTGTTATTGTTACCGCTTTTTGTTTGAGTTCAAGCCCGAGCTCAAAGTGAGGTTATAGGTCGGCTAGACAGTATTTCAACTCCGTAGACCCTATTGTGGCTTATCAGCCATATCGCACCACGATGCAGGTCGGATAAACAGTGAATTTAGCTCGGTTGACCCCTTTCTAGGACGCAGCTCACCAGGTCCACGCTAATTCCTTGCCAGACCTGCGCTAACCCACTTGGGTTGTCACGTGATGGCTGCCCTGACCTGGTCAGGTCAGCTTTAGTTGTATCCTAGTCCCAAAGACGTTAGCCTGGTCTGGAGAGAAATTAGTGCGGGACTGGTGAGTTGTGGTTATTGTTACTTTTTTTACAGAAGATCATCTTTCGGGTCAACTCAGCTTTTCGGTTCAGTTACAATGTCATTTATGAGGAACACAGTCTCTAAGCGAGGGAGCGCTGGTAGTACTAAGTAATTTCTATATGCTCTATAATCCTTCTACAACCTTTTTAGGAGTATCTACTTCCTATAACTTAGGAATCAAGTGGTATAGTTTCTGGAAGTACAAGAGAAACTTAGTACTATGAATAGGTCGATTGACTATGAATTTGCTTAGTAATGTGTATTACAATCACGTGCTGGTATTTAGGGTCACCTGACCTCTCACAGAGGTCGTTTGACCCTCAGTTGAAAGGGTTCAAGAGCTCGAGGAGCTGGGTTCAACCCCTTGAAGCTCGGCACTTATCTTATCGGCTTATCTAGCCCAAATGATGATATTGTTCCTTCACGTGATATCTTAGTCATCTCAGCGATTCCGCCACCCGCTCCGCGTCTTGATTGCAAAGCGCTCCGCTCGACATCTAAAGTTCCTTGTCTCAGCGTCTCTTCTATCCTTGTTCTTCGGTTCTTTGGGAGATCATCAGATTTAATTGTCTCTGCCCACCATGCCGCGCGCAGAAGCTGGATCCACAAAGGCGATCAGCAACAAGATCAAAGCTGTACGTTGCCCTTTTGTCCACTTCCAAATCAACATACTAACGTCCAACAGAAAGGCTTAGGCAGACTTAGATGGTATTGTCAGGCTTGTTCGCGCCAGTGCCGCGATGAGAACGGATTTCGCTGGTGAGTTCTCCGAGTAGTGAAATAGTTAACGCCTATGATACTGACTCCTTCAAGCCATGTCCAGAGTGAAAGCCATGTGCGCCAGGTGCTGCTGATCGGCGAAGACCCCAAGAAATATATCGAAGACTACAGCAAGCAATTCCTGGATAACTTTCTCAATTTACTCAAGACCGGTCATGGCGAGAAGAAGGTCCACATCAACCAGTTCTACCAGCAAGTCATTGCCGATAAGGAGGTTAGTCGTCCGAGTGAGCCTTGCGGAGCGAGTCTGTTGCTAACATGACAATAGCACATCCATATGAACGCTACGAAATGGAAGAGTCTTTCACAGTTCGCTGCATACCTGGGTCGTGAGGGAATCTGCCGTGTCGAGGAGACTGAAAAGGGCCTTTTCGTGTCTTATATCGATCGGAGTCCGGAGGCCATGAGACGACAGGAGGCTCTGCTCAAGAAGGAACGCCAGGATCGAGGAGATGAGGAGCAGGAGCAGCGACAGATTCGGGAGCAGATTAAGCGCGCTCAGCAGTCTGCGAAGGAGGAGGAAGATATCGACCCTGAAGCTCGCAAGCTGCAACGCAAGGAGGGTGAGAAGGTCAAGCTGAATATTGGGTTCGGTTCGAAGGCAAACGGCGATTCGAAGAGCGAGTCACCGAAACCTGCATCGTCTGAGGAGAAGGGTAGCGGTGCGTCGGCCACTTTAGAAACTGCCGATGCTCCGTCTGCTCCTGCTGCCGCTGCCACTTCCGCCTCCGCCCCGCCTGCGCCCCAGGCTGCGCCGAAAGTATCTTTGTCCTTTGGTGGTGGTGGAAACAAGCCGAAGAATGTCTTTGCTGCAGCTGTAAAGAAGAACCCTCTTGCAGGAAAGAAGGGGCCAGTTATGGAACAACCCAAAAAGATGACGGAGCAGGAGCGCATCATGAAGCAGGAAATGGAGGCTATGGAGCGCAAGCGTATGCGTGGTTCTGCTGGGTTCCCTGATGCGAAGCGCCCGAAGATCTCTTGAATTGGCCATTCGACAATAATATTCTGAAGTGGGCTATACCCATACCTCACACCCTCATCGGCATCGATGCCGCTCCGCCCAGGCGACGTTAACCCGTTGTTTCCGTCGGCCAATGGGCTTTGCTTATACGCCATGGGGTTATTACTACTTATGACAAGTCCGACCAAAATAATCCTTACGCGTTGTGCTCTCGTTGATGGCAGCGTTTCAAACAACGCGTTCTTCCGATAGCCGTTCAGTCTGCCATTTGTTGGTTGGGACGCACACTTCTTGTTGGGTGCCATAACTAGGCTATTGGTGTGGTCACCTTGACTTTTTCGGTCGCCTTCGATAGATATAGGGCTAGATAGCGTTGGCCAACCACGTTGTCAACGAATGAATATATAATTTCATATTCTACACCGTTGTATGTTTAGGTCTTGCCTCGATGAATAAACTACATGCGTGCCTCCGAATAATGGTATACCCCTGCCGTAGCTCCGGGTGCCCTTCACCCAACACGATACAGCGGGATGGCTATGTGTACTGTCGGGCAGGGTATTTAGCTTCATTGTATACCCATATTTGACTTATGCGAGTTATTGTCGTCGTCTTTGTTTTACTTAACGCGTAGTAGCTACACATAAGTGATCAAGGGGACGGTGAAAACCCTTTTTCCACCGAGAAGCCCAACCTGTGGGTAAAATATATATTAGTTACACCTCTCTATCCACGGAAATATATTGGACCAGTAGAAATCGCCCTAAATCCCACCTACCAGTTTAATAGAGCCAGAATAGGAATAATGGGTCAGTAACCTCGTCTTAAACCGAAAATTAACCAAGGATTTCTAAGATATTTCGCTGAACATGGTGGTAAGTCATTTGCGATCTACCTGTGATATAGTTGTTTTACCGACCGCTGATAAAGCCAAAGTTAGAGGCATTAATCATAACAAGCCCGGGTGGTCTAGTGGTATGATTCTCGCTTAGGGATACAAACCCAAGCATATCTGCGAGAGGTCCCGCGTTCGATCCGCGGCTCGGGCCTTGTACCTTCCTTTTTTGTTTTTGTTCCGCTCCCGCTCACACACAATTAGTTGTCTCTCCCAAGCAAGGAGACAAGAAGCGCGCGAGAGGAACAGTCATGATTATCGAGGAGGCAGGCAGCAAAACACTGAGCTGATGTAGTATGTTTCCTAGATGAGCTCAGGACTTGTCTTTTTCCAGCTCATGATCCCTACCCCTCAGCATGAATCTATCATCAGCTCACACATCCTTCAACTCAAACCCGTTGGCTTCGCACTCTCCTGCCTGCATCCTTCTCCACAGACCCCATTTACAATGTAACACAGCGTGACCTAATCAGCATATGAATCTGACACAAGACGTGAGGATTTGAACTCAATCCAGTGCGTTGTCAGTCACCGACCCACCATCCCCGCAGTGAACCATGATAGCTATCTATCATTCGGGTTCATCCCCCGAGCCCGGCATATCGCGCCGTGCCTTTTCTTCCACCGGCGGAGATACGCTCCGCTGATTGATTGACTCATCCACCAATCTTGATTTTCTCAACTTGAAATTTCGAACATATACAATTCGCACCACAATTGGGATTTACACACAGCACTGCTTTTCTTAGAAGAACCTACTGAAACCAAAGATGGCCGTACAATCGCTTTCCCCCGAGAGGAGGGAGAAAACCCTCGCATTTATCGGATGTGGTATGTTTTCACCACCAGCACCAACACTACAGTCCAGACACCATCAACGTCCCCAAATATCTACAACCTACTAACGGAGGATAAAGGCAACATGGGTTCCGCCATCCTAAGCGGTCTACTGGACGCAACGCGCACCCAAGCGGGAAAAATCAACCACTTCATCATAAGCACCAAGACCGCCGCATCCGCGGAACGTCTCCGCACCCAATATGCAGAGGATGCGTCCCGCGTGACCATCGCACACGACTCCAACCTCCGCGCGATGGGCGAAGCAGACATCATATTACTCGCCTGCAAGCCCTTTCTAGCGAAAGGTATTCTCTCCGCTCCGGGTGTCGGGGAAGCGTTGTCTGGAAAGCTAGTGATTAGTATCATGGCGGGGATGACGCCCACTGACATACTTGACTGTCTGAGCGACGGTGACCGCGAAATCGTGAAGATTGTGCGGGCAATGCCGAATGTCGCGGCAAGGTTGCGCCAGTCTATGACTATTGTTGAGCTCCCGGAGAGGAAGCCGCTGGAGGAGGAGTTGGTGGAAATAGTGACGTGGGTGTTTGAGGTGATTGGGAAGGTTAAATTTCTTAGTGCGGACTTGTTTGATGTTGGAACAATGTTAGTAGGCGCCGGGATAGGGGTTCTGACGGTGCCTTTGGAGGGACTGTTGGATGGGTGTGTGGTGGAGGGGTTGAGGAGGGCGGAGGCGCTGGAGATGGCGGCTCAGACGTTGTCCGGGATGGCGGCGTTGTTGAAAGAGGGGTCACACCCTGCGGTTTTGAGGGAGAGTATCTCCTCCCCGAGGGGGTGTACCATCCAGGGAGTGATGACAGTGGAAAGAGCTGGGGCCAGAGCGACATTTGCAGATGCGGTGATCAACGGCACGAGACATCTGAAGGGGGATCGATAGATGTACTATTGTCGGGGTATGATTCCGAATAGATTAGATCGAAAGATAGAAAACGATAGATAGATAGAACACTGATAGAACCCCTCCAACTCCATTGATATATTATCCTCGATAAGAACGCACAGCACCCATTGGTCAATACCAAATGCCCTCCTTCCATATACCAGTTCCATCATCCTGCAGCGGTAACCTTAACCGAATACTACCGGAAACACCCACCGAATGCAATCCATCATCCTTCACCACCAACTTACAACATAACCCAATCCATGCAGACACAACCCCCTCGCGTAGACTCAAGCCAATCGGTCAAAAAACCGCCCTGCCGCGGATCTACAACTACATACTCTGCGCTGGCATCCCTACCCCTCACTACTACTATCTGATAGACATATAACGAGGGATGATAAATAAGTAGACAGGGGGATAACCATAAACCCTGAAAGTAGAAGCCACATCTGACTATCTACACAGTACCTTTCTTTCTTTCTTTCTCGAAATGAGATCAAAAGTATTACTCTGGCCAAAACGGCCTACCACTTCCCCTCTCCTCTACTACCAACTCCTCCACAACCACCACCACCCACCAGTCTACCATCATGCCTACTACAACACCTCAACATCAACATCAACATCACCAACCCACCACACCCTCCCACCTTCCAAACCCCCCACCCCAACCCCCCTATCCGCCCTCCCAACCCGAACCTTCCTCCGCTCCCTCCTCTTCACCTCCGTGATGGCCTCCCCGCTCCTCAAGCCCTGTCTCTCCGTGCTAAAGTACATGGTCGACTCGAACTCCCTCCTCTTCAGTCCGGCGAGGAACCCCCTTGTGAATTATCTGCTGCGCAGGACTATATACGATCATTTCTGCGCGGGGGTTAATGAGAGGGAGGTCCGGAGTACGGTGCAGGAGATGAAAGGGCTCGGGTTCAAGGGAGTGATTCTGGGGTATGCGAGGGAGTCGATTGCGAAGGTCGAGGATGTGGATTCTATTCAGTCTGCTGAGGAGAAGATGGAGGTGTTGGATCGGGCCGTGGAGGAGTGGAGGGTTGGGACGTTGAGGACGCTCAGGATGTGTGGGAGGGGCGATTATTTGGCTGTTAAGTATGTTTTCTCTCTCTCTTTCTCTCTCTTTCGGTACTTATGATTAGATTGGGGGAGCGGGCTTGGGCTAATGGTGTGTTAGGTTTACTGGTGCTGGTCCTGCCGCCGTGGAGGCACTCTCGCGCGGTGATCGTGTTCCACCGAAGCGGATCCAGGAGGCCATGATGGAGATTTGTGATGCGGTTGCGGCGCAGGGATCGCGGGTGTGGATTGATGCTGAGCAGCAGATCTTTCAGTCGGCGATTGATGCGTGGGCGGTCGATTTGATGAGGAAATATAATCGGGTGGAGAGGGCGGATGCGCCGGTGGTTTTGAATACCTATCAGGCGTATTTGAAGTCGTCTACGGCTAGGCTTAATGAGCATTTACGGCTTGCGCAGAAAGAGGGCTGGGCTATGGGTGTTAAGCTTGTTAGGGGAGCGTATATTGCTCATGACCATCGGGACCGGATTCATGATACCAAGGCCGATACGGACAGGAACTACGATCATATTGTGGAGAGTTTGATTACGAGACAGTATCCGCTGGGAGGAGAGCCCGGACAGCCGTTCCCCAAGGTGCGTCTGTTTGTGGCGTCGCATAACGGGGTGAGTGTGCGGAAGGCGTGTGCGCTGTATCGGCAGCGGGCGCTGAGTGGGTTGCCTTTGATTCCGGTGGAGGTTGGTCAGTTGCAGGGAATGGCGGATGAAGTGAGTCTGGGGATGGTAGGGGGATCGACGGATGGGGCTGCGCCGGGGGTGTTCAAGTGTTTGGCGTGGGGGTCGACGGAGGAGTGTCTGCATTTCTTGTTGCGGAGGGCCGTTGAGAATCAGTCGGCGATGGAACGGACGAGAGATACGGCGCGGGCGCTGAGGGGAGAGGCGTTGAGGAGAATGGGTGGGGGAGCTGTGATGTAAAGACATGCCTTTCGGCTTTCAGTTCAATGTGAATATGATTCGATGATTATCGATCTAGAGATAACCGGTTGTATGTATACCTTTCGGCTCGGAACCCGGCCTCGGAGACCGTTCCGGAGTCTGGATTCTCTTCAGCATGAGTGACTCTCTCCTTGAAGGAACCATGATTGATCCTTGTTATCGCAGCACTCGGACTTGGGCTTCCGTACCTTAGCGGTATGCAGCTGTCCTTGTCAACTAGGGATCGCCTAGACGCTAAGCTAAAGGATCGGCCCCCGTCTACTTCGTAGGATCTCCATGGCCTCTGCGTAATCGGCATCTTCATCCTCTAGCACAGCTTCCTTCTCACATCCTTCCAGTATCTCTAGCACGTAGTCCTGGCAGTCCCATTCGACGGTCTCATTGTCCACGGGCGTGGCGTTGACGACGTCCTTCACGGTCGGGATATCGGGGCTGCCGATCTGACATACAAAGATGGACTCGATGAAACCTGGGTTATCGGTAGGAAGCCCATTGGACACCATCTTCTGGAAGCTGGGATGTTCTCCATCGACTTCGAAGATGAGGTCTTCAGTGTCTGAGTGGAGATGGAGGGCCCAGTGTTGAAAGTTGCCGTAGCGGGGGTGGTAGATGGCCACGGCGAGGTATGGGGGCTTCATGACCGGTGAGGTTGATAACCGGGAGTGAATGTGTACTGTAACTTTGGAGGTAATATGAGTATGTTTGGATCAAGGGATGAAATGTCATTTCCTCTTGTTGCGGGGATTATCTCCTACAGTCAGTAAGGAAGATGGAGGGGGGAGGCATAATGTGCCTGAGGCAGGGAGGCATCAAGGCACCGTAGTTGTATGGTTTGCACTGCTTGAGCCTCTTCTTCCCTCATTTCCTCTTTCCTCCTCCTTCTTTCCCCTCTTCTCACTTCACTTCCTCATCATTTCCATCATCATCATCAACATCATCTTCCGTCATTCAATTGCCTCACCGCCATCCCGTGTCCGTTCCTTGGTTACCTCCCCTTTTGCCTTCCTTTGTTCCCCCGGCCGACCACGTCGCTACCCAATCATGGCCCACCGCAGGGGCTTGTCCGTGGCACTGGGCCCAACGCGGGATCCCCGGACTTCCGGCCTCGCACCATTCCAGGGCCTTCCGTACCCCACAAAATGACCTGGTCGAGTAGGAATGCCTTGCCCTGAGGACCGTGCCAGCAAGTGACGAAGGTTCTTCGGTTCGGTTCCATCATCTCCCGCGGGGTAATTCCATCACCGCTGACCCAGAACTGAAGTTCCTCAAGAATTTTCTCAAGGGGCAGTGCATTTAATCTCCTGGTGTTCGCCTGTCTCTCGTTCATTTCACCGATCGCCCTTGGCATTCCCTGTCTCGGACACGAGGTGGACCGACTACTGCAGGATAAAACTCCGATCGAATCTCGCGTCGCACTCAAATCTTATTTATATCTCCTATCCTTCTCTCCATCCCTTCCACTTTCTGAGCGGATAAAGCAACCGCATAGCTTCACTGGGCTCCCGGCCTTTGCAAGATGCAAGTCAAGGTGTGTTTCAAAATCCTGACCCATAGAATTGTGGCTAACTCATCGTGGTAGTTCCTGGCAACTTTGTTGCCGCTTTTGCTGCATCTTCCTGCGGGTGTGGACGGTCTGCAAGGAAAAAATGCGCGTATTTCGGCGTCTTTGAAGAGACACGCCGGTCGCGACGTGCCCCAAACAGCTCTTAACTCCACCAATGTCTATCCGACTAAATTCTCGGGCGTGACCTGGGATGAGGATCATTGGCTGCTCACCACCACCACGCCTGATCAGGGCCACTACCAGTCGCGTGGGTCTGTTGCCAACGGATACCTGGGAATCAATGTTGCCAACATTGGTCCCTTCTTCGAGCTTGACGATCCCGTCAATGGCGATGTGATCAATGGCTGGCCCCTGTACTCCCGGCGTCAGAGTTTCGCTACTATCTCCGGTTTCTGGGATAGACAAGCCCACACCAACGGCTCCAACTTCCCTTGGCTTTCGCAGTATGGAGATGACAGTGTGATCAGTGGTGTTCCGCACTGGAGTGGCCTGGTTCTTGACTTGGGTGATGACACGTACCTGGACTCTACCGTGGATAACCGCACGATTTCGAACTTTGAGTCTACCTATGACTTCAAGTCGGGCGTACTGTCCTGGTCGTATACCTGGACCCCTCAAGGAAACAAAGGCTCTTATGCAATCACTTATCGACTCTTCGCGCACAAATTGTACGTGAACCGAGCCGTGGTGGACATGGAGATCACCCCTCTGACAAACGGTAATGCCACGGTGGTCAACGTGCTGGATGGCTATGCAGCTGTCCGCACAGACTTCGTCGCATCTGGTCAAGAGGAGGGTGCAATCTTCTCTGCTGTACGGCCCTGGGGAGTCAACAACGTCACGGCTTACGTCTATGCGACCTTGGATGGCTCCGAGGGTGTCAACTTGTCTTCGCGTAGGATCGTTACCGACAAGCCTTATGTGAGCACAAACAGCTCGTCGGTTGCACAAGCGGTCGATGTCACGTTTAGGGCGAATGAGACTGTCCGCATCACCAAGTTTGTGGGCGCCGCCACCACGGACTACTTCCTTCTCACACAGGAGACAGCCAAGGCTGCATGCCTGGCTGGCTTGGCTGATGGCTACGTCAAGTCGCTGCAGTCGCATGTCGGAGAATGGGCCACGATTATGCATGACAACTCTGTCGATCGCTTCACGGATCCAGCGACCGGCAGGCTACCTGAGGACAGCCACATTGTCGACTCGGCCATCATTGCTGTCACGAACACCTACTATCTGTTGCAGAACACCGCTGGAACCAATGCGATCGCGGCTGCTGGTGGAATCCCTGTGAATGTTGACAGTTGTGCGCCTGGTGGACTTACCTCGGATTCGTACGGTGGCCAGATCTTCTGGGATGCAGATCTATGGATGCAGCCTGGTCTTGTGGCCTCTCACCCTGAGTCGGCTCAGCGGTTCACCAACTACCGTATCGCATTGCACTACCAAGCTCAGGCCAACATCGAAACGGCATTTACTGGCTCGAAGAACCAGACCTCTTTCAGCTCTTCCGCGGCGATCTACCCCTGGACCAGCGGGAGATTTGGCAACTGCACCGCAACCGGACCGTGCTGGGACTACCAGTATCATCTGAATGGCGACATTGGCCTGGCAATGATCAATCAGTGGGTTGCAAGTGGCGACACGGCGTGGTTCAAGAACTACCTGTTCCCGATCTATGATGCAGCAGCCACCCTCTACTCTGAACTGGTGGAGCGGAATGGCTCATCCTGGACATTGACGAACATGACTGATCCGGTAGGTAACATGCCCCTTTCACATGATTTAGCTGACCTCCGCAGGATGAGTATGCCAACAGCATCAATGCGGGCGGATTTACTATGCCGTTGATTGCCGAAACACTGCAGAACGCCAACAAGTTCCGCAAGCAGTTCGGTCTGGAGCCGAATGAGACATGGGACGAAATTGCAGAGGACGTTCTCATTCTCCGCGAGAACGGTGTCACTCTGGAATACACAACGATGAACGGCACTGCTGTCGTTAAGCAGGCCGACATCGTCCTCAACACGTTCCCGTTGACTTATGAGTCGGACAACTACACGGCGACGAACTCGCTGACCGACTTGGACTACGTAAGTTGCAAGGACCCATGTGAGGTTCCAAGCTAACAAATACAGTATGCAAACAAGCAATCCGCAGATGGACCAGCGATGACATATGCCATCTTCGCGATCGTCGCCAGCGATGTCTCTCCGTCCGGCTGCTCTGCCTACACCTACCACCAGTACTCTTACGCCCCATATGCACGTGGTCCGTGGTACCAGCTGTCTGAGCAGATGATCGACGATGCTAGCATCAATGGCGGAACTCACCCCGCGTTCCCATTCATTACCGGCCACGGTGGTGCTAACCAGGTAGCCCTCTATGGGTACCTTGGTCTGCGTCTGCACCCTGATGACACCCTCTACATCGACCCGAACCTTCCGCCCCAGATCCCTCATATCACTTACCGGACCTTCTACTGGCATGGATGGCCGATTTCTGCGTGGTCTAACTACACGCACACCACGATCCAGCGGGATTCATCTCTTGCACCACTGGCAAGCGCCGACCTTCTCTTCTCCAACGTTAGCATCAAGGTCCAAGTCGGCCAGTCCACCGCCTCGGCCGATGAGGCAACTATTTACTACCTTCCACTCTCCGGAGAACTGACTGTCCCGAACCGCATGATCGGATCTGTGAACACAACTCCTGGTAACCAAGTCCAGTGTCATCCAGTTTACTCCCCGGATGCCTACGAGCCAGGCCAGTTCCCCATCTCTGCCGTGGACGGTGCTACCTCCACCAAATGGCAGCCCTCGACGTCTGACTTGACTTCTTTGACGGTCACTTTGTCCACCACGACAGACGCGGCTGCGGAGGCAGTTTCTGGCTTCTACTTCGACTGGTCTCAGGCACCTCCCCAGAACCTGACCGTCATCTTCCACGATTCGCCCATCGGAAACCCCTCCACTGTGTTCGCTGCCGCTGGCTCGAACTCCACAGGATACCGGGTGGTTGCATCGATGTCCAACATCGTGCAGTCGAAGCCGTACAACGCCATCTCTGCTGAGGAGCTGAACGTAGTCTCTATCCCCACCGCCAACACCACCACAATTACACTGGATGCGCCCGTCCAGAAGGCCCGGTTCGCCACGCTTCTGATCGCAGGCAACCAGGCCAACGAGACTGCTGGTGCCACGGTGGCCGAGTGGGTCATTCTGGGACAGAACAGCACTTCCAGCTCAGCAGCGCAGGCCAAGCGGCAGATGAGTGCACGGAGCAAGGCCACTCTGGCTCAGCTTAGCTGAACAGCTTGCTCACTTTAACTACGAGACGGTCGCTTCTGTAACATAGGTATCCTTCCATATGTGGATGAGAAGTACATAATCAATTAATGCTACATAATATGAATTACGATCGATCGATCCTTGCTAGCCACAACCGGCTCACCACGCCAGTCTTCCGACCGGCCAGTGTACCAGCCACGACTAGATAATGTATGTATGCGAGCACGCTAATAGATACAAGAAGACAACCCCGCCATAATACCGCTGTCGCGTAACAGAACAGCAGACCGTTAACAGATGCCTCTAACCTCAAGAGACATCCATCCATCATCCACCCATCACCACTCACCACCAGTAAAGAAAGACCGATTACTCCTCATCCAGCGCGAACCGATCCAGGAACCTAAACGTCCTCAACCCCTCTCTAACACTATCCACAAACTCGGCCCCAACCGTTTGCCCCACCACAACACCCTCCCTCTCATCATCAATCCCCGCATTCCGCAACGCACCCTCCCCACTTCCAACCGCCCCCACCGTCTTCCCGAACCGAAACGCATCCACCAGCACCTGCAACGGTCTTCCAGCCGGATACAACGTGCTCACCGCACTGGCCGTAGAATTGCGCTGCGGCGCAGTGACCGATCCCTCCGGAAAGAGCCCCTCCGCACCAGGCGCCACAATCACCGCATCGAACTGGATCGCGTCCGAGGCCGAATACGTCTGATCGACTCCGTCAGTTAATCTCTCCGCGACGACTACCACGTCCACTTCATCGTCTTTCAGCTCTGTCGCGAGGTCCTGTGCGGCAGTGATTGACGAGGGTGTTTGCACAGAGGCGAGGAAGCCGACTTTGAGGTTGGAGAGTTTCTTGAGCGGCGTGCCGAAGGTGCCTACGTCGGTGGTTTTGTTGTCGTGGTAGTATGTTGGGTCTGGGGAGGGGGCGGGGACGTCGATGGCGCGGGCGACGCGTCGGGCGAGGTCGTTGGAGATGCGGTTGAGTTGGATGATGACGTTCTGCCGGACGGTGGTGGATTTGACGTTGCTGGTTTCGAAGCGGATTGCGTCGATTAGGAATTGTTGTTCCGTGGGGACGAGGGAGTTGTAGAAGAGACGGGGCTGGGACCACACGTCTTGGAAGGTAGGGGACGTGCTGCGTAGGAGGTGGCCTGAGGTGGTGCGGCCTGGGGAGGTGAAGAAGCCGTTGCCGGTTGTTTGGTTGGCTTGTTTCGGGGAGGCGGAGTTGAGGGTGTTGGGGCTGTAGGCGTTCGGGTTGAGGGGGATGTACATTTGGCCTATATGTGTGGGGTGGGTGGTTAGTTGGTGGTGATGGGGGAGGTAAGGGAGGGGAGAGGGGATTTACCTGCGCCATCGCGGTTGTTGTTGTGGATTGGGACGCGGGGCTGGTTGATAGGCAGCTGTTCGAAGTTGGGGCCGCCGTGGCGGTTCAACTGGGTGTCGAGGTAGGAGAAGAGACGGCCCTGCAGCAGAGGGTCTTCGGTGAAGTCGACTCCGCGGACGATGTGGCCCGGTTGGAACTGGTGCGGTTAGATTGGTTTGTAGAGTAGGTAAGGTCCATGAAGGTTATGCGGGTGGAGAGACACGGAAGTAAGGAGCAACATACCATGACTTGCTCGGTCTCCGCAAAGTAGTTGAGCGGGTTGCGGTTGAGGGTCATTTTTCCGAGCTTCGTGATGGGCACGTACTCTTCCGGCACGATCTTTGTGGGATCGAAGAGATCGAACCCGAAGCGCAGCTGGTCTTCTTCGTCCATGATTTGTACGCCGAGCTGCGCATGTTAGTTTTGAGCTCCTTTCAAGGGAATGTGTAGCGCATACCTCCCACTCCGGGTACCGTCCATACTCAATCGATGTCCAGAGATCCTGACGCATAAAGTCCGAGTTCTTGCCCGAGACCTGCTGCGCTTCTTCCCAGACCATGCTGGCCTTGCCCTGTAGCGACTTCCAATGGAACTTGACCAGCTTGGACGCGCCGCTGTCCGTCACGAGCCGGTATGTGTGCACGCCGAAGCCGTCCACATGCCGGAAGGAGCGCGGGATACCGTGTCCAGCCATCGCCCAGAAAAGAGTATGCAGGGCGCTGGGCTGTTGGCTGAAGAAGTCCCAGGCCGAGTCGTGGGCAGTAGCAGCTTGGGGAATCTCGCTGTCACCTCTGGGCTTGACGGCGTGGATCAGATCGGGAAATTGAATGGCATCCTGAATGAAGAACACGGGGATGTTGTTTCCCACGAGATCTGACGGGTCAGTGTTTGGTTGAGAATATAGAAGACATGGATAGCTTACCGAAATTACCCTCATCGGTGTAGAAGCGAGTCGCAAAACCGTGCACATCGCGAGCAAGATCGGTACTGCCACGACTACCAGCGACAGTGGAAAAGCGCACAAACATGGGAGTTTCCTTGCCCTTTTCGGAGAGGAAGGAGGCCGCGGTGAGGTTGGAGAAGTCGCCGTAGGAGACAAAGACACCATGGGCACCGGCGCCACGGGCATGCACAGCGCGTTCGGGAACCTACATTCTTAGTGGTGCAATTGGGTAGTAGACCAACAATAGAACTTACTCGCTCATGATCGAAGCGCTGGATCTTCTGGCGGAAGATGAAGTCCTCCAGCAAAGTGGGACCGCGTTCACCGGCGCTCAAACTGTTCTGGTCCTCAATTGGGCCGCCCACATCGGAAGTGAGGTAGGTGTTATTGTCATTGAGGTAGTACTGAGAGAGGAATTCCTCAGTGGATTCTGAGGCATCTGAGGCGTCGCGCGCAGAGAGGTCACGACTCATGTAAGGGCAGGCGGCATTGGCGAGGCCAATGAGGCCGACGAGACCGATGGGACGCATGGTCGCGTGGAAGGGAAGGGGAGGAATGGACTAGGTCCAGGGAAGATGAGGCAATTGGAGAAGTGAGAGGAGAAGGTAGGGGAGGGGAAGGGGAGAGGAAGAGAGGGGGAGACCGAGGGAGTTATATAGAGTGAATGGGATTGGCATTGGCATTGGCATTGGCAGTAAGTAGCTACTAACTGAGTTGATACTAATAATACTACTTAGTACGAATGTAGGAGCCGTCTGTTCCCAGCATGTTTTGTTAGATACCAGTCGGGTGTGTACCTTACTTGGGATGATATCTTTCGGTAAGGAATCCTGGAAAGCGTAAATAGATGCAGACACACGGCCAATGGCGCGTTGCTCATTGGCCGGGGGGTCCATGCCCCGGCCGAGACCCAGGCTTGGCGATGAGGAGGAAGTCGAAGCTGACTGGCGGGAGGGCTTGGTAATCGGGAGGTCTGGATGGAAGGGGACTGGCTTGGCAGGCGATGACGTTGAATTCCACTCGTGTCATGCCATAAAATACAGTATTATTATTATCATAATAAGAAAATCAATTGGCAGTGATGTTGCACAAAACCTGAAAATGGGAAGTGACGGGATTGTCAATTAGTCTTCCCCACTCATGTTACAATAACAATGACGATAACAACAACAACACACAACTAATTGGTCTTCCCCTTGCAGGGTGAGAACTTCAATTCAGCTGTAGCCCAAATACTTGTTGTACTACCTCAGGCATAAACTTACTAACAACCAGGGGATAGGCTTTATGCACGAGGAAGATAATTCCACAAAGTACATTGGCCAGGACATGTTCATGTTCATGTTCCATCTGCAGGACCCTAACCAACTATTAATAATTAACCCGACGGTTCCTTACAGCACCTCCCCTCCGCCAGTTACACTACCACTACTAGTACTACAACTAAATATGATCAGACCATCCAGCCAAGCCCACCCCCGCAGCCGGGGATTCTTGGTCCTGCAACGTGCTGAATTTCCATCACACCGACGCGTCGCCGCCCAGACTCACTCACAAAGAAAGAAAGAATATCGCGAAATTTCTATTTTTGTACAATACCTAGTCTACACATCCCCCATCATACTAGTATACTATTCTAGTATCTAAAAATACTTCGGCCAAACCGGATCCTCCCACGTCCTTCCCCCCTTTATCAACTGACTATCCACCCCATCCGCACCCGAAGAAACATACAATACCTTGGCCTGTGCCCCCTCATTCCAATATTTATACGTCACTCCCTTAGGCACAAACACCACATCTCCCATCTCCACTCTGGCAGTCTCATACTCCCCAATCTGCACCTGCACACTACCCTCCAGCACCTCCAACGCCGCCGGGCCCGCGGTCCACGTCGGGGCTGTCGCGTTGCTCGGCTGTCGGCTCATGATGATTGTGCTCAGGGTATAGTTTGTATCCTGGGCCTGCGTGGCCGTCACCAATGGCTGCACGATCTGGTACGCCCCGTACTGCGAGTTGAGGTACTTGGGGCCGTAGTTGTTGGCGATGAAGTATGGCTGGCCCGCGGCGCCGAGGGTGTCGGATTCGGTGTGCCAGCCGGAGTCGGAGGGAGCGGAGCCGTTGACGAAGTCGCGGCGGGGAGTGAAGTCGAGTTGAGCGTAGACGTCGTATTGTTGCAGACTGGAGATGGTGCTGCTGTCGGGACCGGTGGCGGAGGAGGAAGAAGAGTTGCTGGAGCCAGGTACGTAGGGGGTTTCGGTGCCGGAGGTGTAGTTGGTGCCGAGGGCGTAGAAGAGGTCCCTATTGTTTCAAGAGTTGATTAATATGCTGATATGTGAGTAGATAGATGGGGTATTTGCTTACTCAAATCCACCAGGAACAATCACTCCCACCATCTCAGTGTCCGGGTCGAGGATCTGGAACGTGTGTGTCGTGTTCCGAGGCACAGAGCCATAGTCTCCCTGCGTGAGGAGACGGCCCTCCTGTTCTCCATCGCCCTTTTGGGCCCAGAGCTGGAAGCGACCCTTGAAATTGAAGAAGTTCTCATAGTGCGTGCGGTGGATGTGAGGGAGGACACCGAGGGAGCCGCTCGAGGGCGCATTGGTGCTCATAAGCGTGAAGGCATAGTCGGAGGAGGGGCCGGTGACGGTGAACCGGTACAGTTGGGAGCCGATCGTCACGGCATGGGAGTTCTCATAGTGAGGGAGGATATAGGGGCGAGGGGACGAGGGGGCCTCGGAGACGTAGAGGTCCTCGACGGATAGGGCTGAGGTGAGGGCTAAAAGAGAGGAGAGGACGAGAGAACGCATGGTGATGGAGCCTTCAGATTCGGATTCCGATCAGATCTTGCTAATTCTTTCGATAGACCTTCTCTGCTGCATACGATTCTACAAACTTATACCCTTCGCGTGGACAATGAAGTCCGATATTCACACCGGAAATCCCGAGATCCTGCAACATGGGCCATCTGGTACGCGAAATGAGCTGCAGACCTCGCCGCAGGTCCCGATTTGTTGGAATTGCAGATACCTCAGCGACCAAACAAGACAATAGGGCAGACGAACCTCGGTGCCTGTACGTATCCGGTCATGAGTCTCCGGAATGACGAAACGCCGTGTGTGTGTGTCGGGAAATCCGAGAGTAGGATAGTGATCAACAGGTCCACTGCAGGAACTATCCAGGCCAAGGGACGCCATTCTTGGCGGGGACAGAGTGAGTCGTCGTCCTGCCTTGTTTTCTTCACGCCGTGGGGTGCAGATTATCTGCAGCCACCCATACCTACCTTAAATCCCCATATACTCTGAAAGTATCATTTATAAAAACATCAAATGCCTACTTACTCTGCACCTCTCACACAGAAACCAACCAGCAACACTGAAGAAGACAAATGCCCCCAATGTCGATCACCGTCGATCATTCAAGGCCCGAGAGCTCCGGTAAACGGCGGGTCGTCAACTCGGCACTTGTCTTTGCGGAAAAACCACCCAGCCAGCGGGGAAATGCCGCATACAGAGTAGCCAACCCAATGTCAACCAGGCATAGTCTGTAGCTGATAGCCACACACTAACCCACTCTAGTAAGTCTAAACATCGCTTGTGAGTCCACGACCGATGGATCCAGGAACACTGAGGGTCGATCAAGCACGTAAATAGCCTAGGGTTGTCCGTGAAGATTGACTAAGCGGAAACAATCGGAAAATAGTTAACCAAGTCGTCAGACTCCGGAGGGGGACTTGTGGCAGTACACTTGGGTCAGTTATGAGGATCTGCTTGCACCAAGACTTGGTGCGGACAGTGACCGGGTAAATAGTCATGTTTGGCAGTCTGCTTTGTGCTCTCTAGTGTTGGGGGCAGTAGGAGGTGCCAAGGATAGTTTGACGTGAAACGGCCGCCAGTTTCATCCACCTTCCTTCTTTCTTTCCACTGACATATTATTATCTCTCGGTAGTGGATGACCCGAGAAACATTTTCAGTTGAGCTCATTACGACATAGCTACAATTACAACATATTTCAAATACGTAAAGAGTAAAAAGAAACAAATCAAAATAGAATAAAATAAAGATGTGTGTTGTTGCAGTGTGGTGCGGGTAAAAGTGAAAGAAAAAAGGACACGAAAAAAGAATTGTCCCTGGGCGGGGTCGAACCGCCGATCTCAGTGATTCCTGTATGATGAAACCATAAGCACTATGCCTTAACCACTTGGCCACAGGGACAACTGTTTTATGTGGGGAATTTCTTAATATGGCTTATACCCTACTTTTGGCATATCCGACATCCGGGGATGAGAATTATTTCTCTGTTCATGGTTCCTTGGGTTGATTGTGGGGGGAAGCTTTAAGTTTGGTACGACGTTATTTTACTTTGTAGAGTGGCGTGTATTGTTTATTGGTTTGGTGTTGTGTAGCTAGCTGTATTCGAAGGGTTTGGGTTGTGGTTTTGACTGACATGCGACCGAAATACATATTCGCATATAAACTTAGCGAGGTACTAGACTATCTATCTATTCTTCAAGATTTTACTTTTAGAATATAGGGACCTGTGAAAACGACGCCGAAAATGGCTCCCCTATGCATCCCAACCCAGACACCCCTTCTTCTCGCCCAGCCTGGTCGAGCGGCTATTTAGATGCTTCGTCTGCCCTTTCCCTCGGGGGTCTTTTAACAACTTTCTCATCCTACCTCCTCTCCCTCGATCGACCTCGACATGCTTGACTCGCAAGTCTCCTATCACAGAATCCAAGCCTTGGCCTTTGTCTCCCAATTATCCTCATGGCGTCTGTGCCCGTACCCCCAGGTCAAGGCGATGAGCACTGCTGCATATAGACACCGTCGTCGATGCCATTGTTGATACATTTGATAGTGGACTGAGTCATAATATCTTTCTCCCTGGTATATTTTAGGTTCTTCGCGGGCTTGCAAAGTAAGTTATCACCCCCTTCTTGAAGGACTATTATGATTCGAGGCGGTGTCGAATCTCTAAGCGTGGATTTCAAAGGACGCCAGGAGATTGACCCGACGACAGGAATTGACTTGAATAGAGACTAAAGGCTGGGATGGTAGTCTCTTCTTGCATGTTTATTTTGGTAGTCAATGTTCCTTCAATATTTTTGACGATGGAAAGAAAAAGAAAATGGCAAATATAATTAACAATATAAAAACGTTCTCTCGTCCAATTTGCACATAATTTGAGTAACTCTCCTCTTGTCGTTGCGTGTAATTATTCCCGTGGACTGGTAACCTGGACAATCAATATTGGGATAATTCCACCTAAAACGACAATTCCACTCATGAGTCCGGCCGTACCAGTGAAACCTAGAGTACGAAACATGTATGGGAAATAGAAAGGGCCGACCTAGATGCTCTGTTAGCGAGGGGAATAGGCGCCGAGGTAGAGGAGGACGAACAAAACCATAAAGTAACCTGATAACGTTGAACAACACTCCAATTGAGGCAGAGCCACTGGGCGAAGTATCGATGGCATATGCTGTGAGAATGGTAGATTGAATCTGATTGCCAAAGCTGGCAATGGCGATTCCCACACAGGGGGTCACATTCCAAGTTTTCGCCCGCTCAAGTTGAAACCCCCAAACGAGCTGACCAGCAATGATAGTGAGGAAGCCAATATAAGTCAACCAGAGGCGGTCGGCCGGACAGACTCGACCTTTGCGCTTTCGACATACCTTCATGAAGTAGTCGGACATTGGACCACCGACCTGCTCTCCAATGACGCATCCAATGATGATGGGGATGAACTGGAGACCGGTTTGTTGAGCATCGAGATGAAATTTCTCCCCAAACGTGAGGGGCATCTCAACCACGAAGACGATATTTGCATAGCAGAAGGTGATAGCAGTAGCTAGGGCTGCTACCAAGATCCGAGGGTTCTTGGCTAGGCGGAATGGAGACACAAAATCCGACATTCTGATTGGACGCGCATCAAGTCGTTTGGGCAGCAACCCACGGAAGATCGAGATTTTTTCTTCGGCAGCATCATTCTCAGGTTCCATAACACGAAGCAGCGTCTCCCCGCCAAGGCAGATATAAGCGACTGCTTGCAAGAAATTGATGATGGCAAATATCCAAAATATGAATTCCACTCGAATATGCTGCACCACGAATCCCATGATAAAGGGACCAGCCGGGGTACCGAGGATGGTCATCAAAACCCACCATCCTACCTTCCGGGCATATTCATCCGGAGTAGATAGTTCAGCCACCACTCCACTTCCAATTCCAATCGGTGGAGATATGAAAGCTGCAGTCAAAACACGAGTGATCATTTGGCTAGCGTAACTTTCGCACCGGGCGCCTCCGATATTGCACACCATACTCGCAAGGACCGAAAATATCAGGATATAGTGGCGGCCATATCTTTCTGTGATGACAATCCAGAAAATTGGTGCTATTCCAAGTAGTACGATCTGAAATCGGATTCTTATCATCAACAAACCCGATCCCACTCTGGGGAATTATTACGAAAGAAGAATACTTACTTGAATGGACACCAGGTAGCTTGCGTCAGCAAGGGACACGCCATAAGATTCTGCCATTGAAGAAACTGCTGGCACGACTCCTGCTGCCATGAACACAGAGATCATGGAGTGAAATGAGACCATTAAAATCGTAGCATTCTTCTTCCATTGTGGCCAGTCGACAGCCTGGCGAGAAGTACTACTTGGTTCCATTGACGACGAAGGGACTGCTCCTTCCAATTGGACAGGAGGACCCGATTCACTTGACTCCAGATGCTGGAATCCGTTCTTTAGCTGAAGGTCACCAGAGCCCGTGTCGCTCATGGTTGTGGGGAAGGATTGAAATTGTTCAAATAGAGATTTCTATTATCTTCTAGTATAAGATTGAATTGAAGCTTAGAGAGCTTGCTCCTGATAGATTCGCTGTTGGAAGAACCCAGCCAACACACCCCCTTTTCTATCTTTCCATATCTCACATACTTTACTTTCTATTCTAGGGTTTCCTAACACGTCCTAATCTAGTTCAATGCGGGGTAATAGTGTCATTCCCCACAGCCATCAGCCAGTTTATAGTTTCGGTTCTCATCCCGGACTGTAATGATGCTTGATTCCCCGCGTTTCGGGACTAATCCCGTGTATCTGGGATGGCAGGTGTCTGATTGGGGCAGAAGGATCGGTAGATTGGCCTAGTAATTTAAGGTTTGGGCCCCGTCTCCGCGAGGTTAGCTCTTCGCCCAATAAAAATTAATCATATCCCAGAAGATCCGAGGAAATAAGATGGGATCTATCCCGAATGCTTGGACCCCACAACGGCACGCATCCCTTGTGTGTTGTTCACCGCAATTGCAATCTTTAAATTTTGACTGTTACGAATGGAGTACAATTATAGCGGAATCATGGCGCGCCAAGTTCAGATACGCCTTAAGAAGAGCTATGAGCGGTGGAAAGGTGTCTCAAAAAAAAATTGGCACATTTGGTCATTCTTGATTTAACTTTCGATATCATCTCCCATCACACGAGGAGCGAAAAGTTTTACAAAGCTAGGGCACTTTTTCCCCCCCACCCAAGAGCCATATTGCTATGGCTTGTTGAAAAGGTTGTTCGCATTTCCAAAGTAGATCTTATCGCGTAGCTCTGGGTCAAGCGGGAAGCCATCTAGAATTTGCTTGAATCCAAGTGATTTGTCGGGGGACGCGTAAGGAAAATCAGAACCTGTGGAATATATTAGCTACTAGTGACAAATAACGGGGAACATGGGAAAAGCCTTACCATAAGTAATATGATCATGCGGAATAACTTCGAGAACTAGCTTGAGAACGGCCTCGGAACTGGAGAGGGCCAAGTCAAAGTAGAATGACCGAAAGTCTTCCATGATCTCCTCGGAGGATTTCCCGTAAATGCGGGCGGTCGTAGCGGCTTCCTTCGACACGGTGCAAATGCGCGTAATCAAGAAGGGCAGCGTCCCTCCGGCGTGGGAGAGAATCACTTTGCAGTCTGGATAACTTCTCTTTGTGTTGGTGATAATCATGTCGACAGCAGTTCTCGTGGTCTCATGGGGATAATCAATGGCTGGCTGCGGCAGGAGAGGGTTGACTCGAGTCGTATCAGCGGGATGAGTAGGGTGAATGAAGACCACAGCCTTTCTGGAAATCAATTCCTCCCAGATAGGCTTGAATTCAGGGCTACCAAGGTATTGGTTCCCTGAGCCGTATCTTGTGAATAAAGTCACACCTTCAGCCTTCAACACATCTAGGGCGTATCTGATTTCCGCCAGAGCGCCTTCGGTATCGAGAAGGCAAGGCAACGATGCGAAAAAGCCCCATCGCTGTGAATCTTCATCACACTTGGCTGCAGCGTACTCATTTGCCTTGCGGGCCAGTGCTCTTCTCTTCTCGGTCGTTGAGGCGATGACTGCTCCAGGAGCAGTCAGCGACAAGATAGCCTTGGTCACACCAATCTTGTCCATGAACGCAATGTCGCCCTCGGCTGACCAAGAAGGTGTCGGCCAACCAGAAGGGTCACCTCCAGCATCCTCGACAGCTGTGAAAATCTGTTCAGAATCGTATTCTTGTTGGGAGGGGGTTGTTGTGGTATACCTTGAGCATAAAATTCGGGGACGAAGTGGTGATGGGTATCGATGAGGCTCATTGTGAGTTGCAATTCTGTTCGCTGCTTGATAATTTTCTATCATAGAGAGAAACGCAGTCAGGCAGAATATATACCATAGACAGTGCAATAGTACCTAGTGTGAAGTGACCCCCACAATGAATATGCCGGGTTTCCGGTTGCCGACCTACCCGGAGTCAATCGTGGAGAAGTGAACACGGCTGGCCGATTTGCCGCTGTCGTCGTTTACAGTTTCGATGACACGTTCAACGATCTAGCCCGTTGACAGATGCGTAACGCATTAACCATCAGGCATAATGGTAAGTAGGTTCGGGATATGACCCGGTGCTTGGGCCTCCTTCACTTTGTTTGGGTCAGTTTCCGCCACTACATTACGTGTGTGGAGATCTTGACAGCACAATTTGACCCACGGCTCTAACCGGGCAGGTCCCAAAGAATATAAAACATTTAAACCTCGCTGAATTCCATTAGACATTCCTTCCTAACATTGCAAGAAGTATTTATAGAGAGTAAATATTCTAATACACAGCTCGAACTCCGCTGAATATTATATTATTACAGAATATCGGAGCAGATGAGACGAGGGGGCCGCGATCAGGTAAGTGTAGAATATGGGAGGAGAAGATTAAAAGAAGAGAAGAGAAGTAGATGAAGTAGAAGGGCCAGAGTGTAGGAAATTCTTATATACTTAAAGAAGATGACAGGTGATGATGAAAGTCTATCATATCAGGCGACTAAGCCGAAAGCAGCAAAACTAACTGTAACAGGAAATTCACAGGTCCCAGAATTACTTATCTAACTACAGTACATGTTAAATCTTCCCAATCGTTCAGTCATCATCCAACAAATCTGACAATCTCCATCACTCTCCAACCGGTCCTTCTCACCCCCCGACAGAAAGATTGCTCCATCCCACCGACCGTCTCACAGAGCGCCAGCACTAGAGCCTACTACTTGCATCACTCCCCTGAGACCCTCTCATCCGGCGATAAACAGCATACACATCCTGCACATTATCCTTCCCCCAACTAACGAGAAGCTTATTCCTCTGGACAAAGTCCATAGTATCCAGCATCTTCTCCTCCCTGCGCTCACATTCCGTATCCGAGAGCTCGCCATCAGCACTCCGCAGATATACTTTCAACATGTCGAAATGCTTATCCTTGGGGAGATGGAACGTATTGTAATTCTTATTGATTTTTCGGTAGATGGTAATGTCCCATGGATCTCTCCTAAACACCACCCTAATTAGTATACTTCTCAGTAAGAGGAAAGGATATACTCACGTATCCAGCGACATACCCTCCGCGACCACCGCATCCCAAACCATCCCCACAGGCATGGCCAAATCCATCACAACCTGCCGAACAGGAACATCCGGGGCATACGAAAAGACAAAGCTCTCGTCATCAACCAACAGAAATGCCTGCGGACTCTCCAGCACAGTCATCCCGCAATCGCCCAGTATCTTCTTATCGAGCTTCGTGTATGCCGAATCCTGCAGCAGGATTTCGATTTCTGTCGGTGTCCATGCCATTTCCTGCAGGATTCGTCGCAACATGAGTAGGAAGGCGTGCTGGTAGGCACTTCGCTCCCTGGTGAATTTGTCAAGCCGGAGGTTGGTTATGCTGTTGCAACCGAAGGCGATGATCTTGCTGACGGGGCGTTTGATGGTCGGTAAATTGCGCAGAGCCGCGAGCATGTTCTTGTACAGAGCGCTGTCTGTCCAGGTGTGGAAGATGGTGTTGAAGCTTTCGTGTGCAGATGCGATTTCTTTCTTGGTGGGGTCGTAGTCGTCATAGTCGTCTTCTTCGTCGTCTTCGTCTTCCCCGTCTAGACGGCGGAATTTGTGGCCTAGGGCGAGGTTCGAGTATAGCAGGGAGGGATGGCGTGTTTCGGGACTGGGGGTGATGTAGTCTGTTGGGGCGGGAAAGAGTTCGAGGAAGTGTTTCACGCTGGAATTATGGTCGATTAGTATTTGCGATCAGTGGATAGAGAATAATACGTACCCAACCATAGCTACACCCTGCTTATTGCGCTCAATCCTCTCCGTCATCACTTCAAACCCTACGTCCGCGCCATCCAATGCAGGAATGTACACGATATCCCCCGGCTTACACTTCTCCACTCTAGCCTGTGCTTCCTGAATAGCTTCTTTAGTCCACCGGGGTGTTCCCTCCGGATACAGTTCCTTGTACCGTTGCGCCCTAAGGTGTGGCTGTAAATCAGTATCCGGCCCGCTAGGTCGTAGAGACGGCTGTAAGCCGATTTCTGAGGCGGCAAGGCTTTGGGTGGTATTCGTCGGTGGTGCCAGATCCATGGGGTCGCTTGAGGTTGTGGACGACGCGCTATCCTCGGACTCGTCGATGTCCATGGGATCGGGGGTGTACATAGTACTAGGAGTAGTCATTGTTTATTGTATGGACTGTTCACGAGGGTGGAAGATTGAAGCTAGATATGGCGGAGATGGGTGAATGCGAAAGTTGTTGATTCAATTGCTGGCATTATACTGATGACTGGCGACAAGGATGATTCAAAAAGAGACTGCATGTTGGAGTAATTTATACCTGTTTTCGAGAGATGTGGAGAGAAAAACAGTAAAGGTAGGTTTCCAGGACAATTGATCATATTGCGGCTCTTCCCTGTACATTCACTGTCAGCTGGACTGCAGACTGGGGGGCCCTAAAGGTTATTGTTGAAACTAGGCTTGCAGGGAGATTCGGGAAGAGAAAGAAACGAAAGTATGCTGTATATAGATGGTAAGTGCCGCATGATGATAATGTAGCTTAGACTTTAGAAGTGAATAGGGAGAAGTATCATTGTTTGATGTTTAATGGAATAGTCATAATTTGTGCTAGCTTTTGTTTCACATTATTGACTGGCAGTTAGTGACATGGGTGGCTTGCATTGCAGTATTGACTGTAGGCTACCGTGAATATATCGCCTTCAGATATGCCGAGGTCTGTATCATCCGATAGTTAATGGGATGGACGACGGATAAATATTCAGATGGCCGAAAGTATCCCGGGGAACTATTTTCCGGGATAAACCATGAATAATGTCACAAATCCAACCATTCAAGATGGATCATAATCGAACAACACATCATACAGGGCTACTTCTCCCCATTACCCACGATCCGACCAGAGTTATATTACGTCACTTGAAACCAAGGCAAATGATTTTTTCATTCTTTCCCACCATAGCTATCTGATGGAATGTAAATAGCTCATCAAATATTAAACATTATAGCAGCCTAGTTCAAAAGTTATTCTTATACCTTTGACCTATGTCCTACTCATTCGCTTCCTCTGTATCAGAACTCTGAGAATTCTCTGACCCTTCCGCGCTTTGATCTGCAATCACTTTGCCCAGCCGCCTAAGGTCATCAGTTATATCGTCAGGTTGGATGCACAGCTCGAGAAAGGCGAGTTTGTCCGACTCGGCATCCACCCTGTCTAGTGCTTGCTTCATATCCCCCATTGTCTTGATTTTCATGGCGAACATTGGCGGACTTTTCTCTAGCTCCTCATCTTCTTTGCTGGCATAAGGGTTATGCGACGGAGCGTGGGGCTTTAAAGAAAAGGAATTGGCCAATTGGACATAGTCCCAGTTTGCCAAGTAGTTATACGGTCCATCATGCATAGCAGTCTACTCTATTGTCAGCGATGTCCACGACTTGTTCTCAATGACTTGCCTCGATCTTATACCCCAGATTGTTGAAAATGAACATGATCGCGTTAGCTCTATGGCGAATCATGCTGCTGACTTCTTGTGCGGTCATCTGAAACCCCCCATCTCCAATAAGGATGATGGATCGACCCCGTGTCTGAGCAAGTTGGGAACCAAATCCTGCAGGCAATGCCCAACCAATAGAGCAATATGGGAATTGTAGCTGGCAGTTGGCTTCAGGGGGTAGGAGAATATGATTAGCGATGAGCCATGACTCTCCTGCGTCGCAAAGCAATGTGTCATGATCCTTTATAAGACCCTGAATACTGCTGATAGCGCTTTTCAAGGTTAAGAATGCCTCTGAATTTTCTGTTTTGTCGGGGGGCAAGCAACCAAGAAGTGGCTTAGGTCGCGGAATGGACCCGGTCTTAGATCTCATTCCAGACATGACGAGTTGCGCTACCAGTGCGCCGATCTTCACAGGCTTGATGTGCTTTCCCTCGGGTAGCTCGACCCAATCCTTGTCCACGCTAATTATGCGATAATCTTCTTGCTTATTGCTACTCATCAAAACATGAAAATCAGACCAATTTCCACCAATTACTAACCAAAGGTCTGAGCTCATGACGATTCGCTCACCTTCTGGGTTTACCATTCCAGCCCAGAATTGACCGCAGTACTGCGGATGGGATTCTTTGAAGCAACGGCCATCGGGCTGACAAAGAACTGCACAACCAAGCTTGTCTGCTAGACGTTCAAGATGACCGCGGGAGAGAGATAGACCTGCTAGACTTCCAAGCAAGAGCACAGGCCTTCGAGATGAGTTCCATATACTTGTAATTGCTTCTACAGCCTCTTTTAATATGCGTGGCTGGCTCTTCAAGTTCATCTTCCGGCTCAGTGGCAAATATTGAGCGCATGCGGCGGAAGCAAGATTATTGGGAACCTCAATGTAGACGGGCATACTGGAGTCGAGACATTTACCTATCGTATCATCCAGTACATCACAGGCAGTCTCTGCAGACTCGAGGCGCACAGCTGCAGCAGTGACCCCTTCGAATGCGCGGAGGGCCTGGTCTTTATTCTTAGCGCTGGGAGCGTGATGTAAAAATTTGTCGCTTTTCACCAGGCTCGTGGTGGGACAACCAGAGAGTACAATCAATCTGATATTTTGCGAGCAGGCGCCTGATACGGCATTGAGAACAGACAGACTGCCTACGATGTAGGGAACAACGACCACCGCAATGCGGGCTGATGATACGCGGGCGTATCCATCTGCGGCATATCCAGCGTTTAGCTCGTTGCAGCACGTCACCATACGGAGATTGGGGTTCTTTAGCAAATTGTCAAGGAGGAAAAAGTTGGTATCA